GCCATTTTGAGCATGCCAAAAATAATTGTCACTGACAGGGAGAGAGAAAAGGAAAAAAAGGGGCAAAAGAAAAACAAAATTTATTTGATCTAAAGTTGTCTGCTTTGGTCACAGCAGCTGTCCACCACTTCAGGAGGCTAATGCGGCCCAGAAGTGGTGAGCTCAGCACAGCTCTGCAATTTAAGGCAAGAGTCAAAGCAAAAAGGGAAAAAAATGGCTGACTGTTTAAAATTGCTACAAGCCCTGACAGATCAGAGGCTTGCAAGCCAGTGCTGGCTGCAATTTGGCAGGCTCAAGCGTCTCACAGCTGCCACGGTGCTCTGGTGACTGGACAGGGGGTCAGGATTCAATCCAGATGGCCAGTACCCCCACCCCACCCCAAGGGACAATCATGGAGACGAACTGCAGAATTGTCCCGAAACGTCTGAAATGGCTGCTGATGCCGAAAAGGGGAAGAAGCACCTTGCGGTTTTCACGGCTAACACAGATCAATAAGAATAGACCGGGAGAAAGTGAGTTGAATAAGACACTGACTCCCGCTCCCCCAGCCCGGGCCACGTGGTCTCTCAGGGGCACCTCCAAGCCAATTTACAATCACAATTCCAAAAACCAGTCTACCAGCAAAGAATTTTTTTAAAAAGACAGTCAAAAAAAAAAAGCAAAAAAAAAAAAAGTGCTAACCGGCAAGCCAGCTAGCTGTCAAACCTGCTCTAAGCCTCTTGAAGAAAAAAACCAAAACTCAGTCCAGGGGGTGAAGATTCTTCTACAATCTGAACTATTCAGAGCCCTTAAAGAGTGGTCTGAACATGCTGAGACCGAGTGAAGAACTGGGGACTGTTACCAGGGGGTGTGTCCTCAGTTTTTGAACTCGGTCTGCAGAGCTATGAGACTGGAGACTACCCATCCTGGACTCTCCCTTCGGCTCAGTGGAGAAGAATGTCAGATAATGAGGGAGATGTATTACAATGTCTGAAGACAATTCTGCTGAGAATGGAGCTGAACATCTACAGCACAATGAGAAGTCAGTGAACGGATCAGTTCCTTAGAATTCCTCCTGATAAAGGAGAGGTGCTCCATACAATGGTTCTGTGGAAGAAGACAAGAAGACAGTTGAGGGTTTTAGAGCACTGGGAGATGAGGAATCTTCATGGATTGAAGCCATCAAAAAGATGGCTTCACATACTTCTGTTTCATAATCACTTCGGGAAATTGCTTGTTAACTGTGTTTGTGTGTATATAATAATATAACATAACATATAATTAACATACAGTAATATAATACAATTAGAACTGAGTAGAGTAGACTAGAGTAGAATAGAATAGGGATATATAACGTAACTTAACATAATATCATTATCTAACCTAACCGAATCTAACCTAACCCAACCTAACTGAAGCTAACAGAACAGAACAGAATATAATGACAATACAGTACAATAATATAATATAAAGAACTCTTGGAAAGGCAAGAGTCATTACAGGGGTGAATCTCCTTCAATCCTTGATGAAAGCAAGTTTTATGCAAGGACTTTAAAAAAATATTTTGGAATAAACAGCAAAAGTGGATTAGAATGTTGATCTGAAAAGTTATAAATAGATTAAAGAGCCAGATGGATTTGAAGTAAGATTTTGAAATTAATTAGGAGAATATTTCCTGGGAAAAGATTATGGATTAAGGAAAAAGATGATAAGATGGGACTTTGATATTTGGACACTTGAGGGAACCCAAAGAAACTAGATTTAAAATGAAACCAGCTAAGATCTTAATAATTGAAAGAGAAATGCAAACAATAAACAGGAAGAATGCTTTGGATAACTTTGTTATCTTCGTCTTACAAGAGAGATGGAATAAACATATGAAAAAAATCCTGACAAAAGACAAATAGAAACTGAAAAGCAATCACCTTTGGGACATTATATATGCTGTTTCTGCCAACTCGTAATGGATTTTTCTTGATCAGGACTTTTGTTGATGAGGATTTTTCAGAGCCTCCTTACAAATTTGTTTTTAGATAAGAGGTAAAATAAGAATATATGCTGGTCTCCATTGTAAATAAGGCTTGGAGAAGTTCTCTGACCAGGCAAAGATGGGTTGTAGGGAATCTAAGTGGAAGCCACAACACAACTTGATTGGAACCCTGAGATCCAATTTACATATCCTTTCTCTAAATCCTGCGGTGTTAAGATGGACAGAGCTTGGAAAACTGGGGTGACATCCTAATACTGTACATCTGGAAGAATTTTAGATTCCTATCATTTATCCTTCAGAACCAATGGATATTTACCATGATTGGATAGATGCTTGTGAGGCAGTAATTAATACAACTGTTAGAGGAACTTATTGGAAGTTAAGCAATATTTCTTAATTCAAGGGTAGGACTATTAATGTCATAATATATTGGAGATACAGCTAAAATGACTAGGAAATTGGTGACTTTACATTTAAATGCAAAATTAATATCAGGAATGTAACTTGTTTTAATTTGGTACCTAAGAAACTCGTATTGAATACATAATGAGAAGGGATTACAACTGCTTTTTTCACAAAAATCACATTTATTTCTATAATATTCTGTACTTTTGAAACAGTTTTAAGAAAGATATAGGTGCGGTTTGTTACAGAACTGCAGTCCAAAAAAAATAGTATTTAGTTTTTAGAAATCGAAGGGTGAGGAGTATGAACAGGTTTAGAAAACTGCCCTGATTTGTAGATTCATCCAAGTAATGTTTTGGTTAATGATAGTTTACTGAATAAACCACAATTGGCTAGCTTCACAGAACATGCTAAACCATAAATGAGTTTACAAATCAAAATTCCAGGTTCATATAAGAAAGTAAGGTGTAATGAGATGTGATCAGGATAATTGTCTATATTGTGTGAACCGAGGTATTGTGGTTTATTGTGACACTATGGTTAAGCAAAGAGTAGCTTAGAACAGTGTAGAGGGCATGGAAGGCTTGTTCTCAAGGCAAGATCACTCTCTGATAAAAAATGACAAGAAAAGCTAAAACATGCAGCTCAGCTGGAAACAAATTGGCAAGAATGAATCAACAGATTAAAAGTTAAACAAAGGTAAGACTAGAATTGAAAAACTGGGTGAGAGGTTATATGTACAACTTATGCAACTTCTCCAGGAACCTAACAGGCTATATTTTAAAAGTGGTTAGAGTCAATAAAACTTTGCCAATGAAACATCAATTATAACAGGTTTTAGAAAGTCAGACAAGGGGCAAATAAACTTCTGCCAAACTTGTGACTGGTGACGATACTCTTATCTCTGAAGCTATTGTTTTTCAATCTTTTAATGTAAACCACTGAGGATTAATTAGTAGTATTCATTATTGCTTTACTATATTTTATCATTGCTTCTCTTTTTATCTTTTTGTATGAAGTCAGGACCATGTAAAGAAGCATGCTACACATAGAAACACTAACAAACACACACACACACACACACATACAATTATCAAATCCCACCTACTAGTTATTGAAATAGTGACTCATTCATATCTCAGCTCATTCATTGTGACTCATTCATATCTATATACTACTAAAACGTTTGTATCAATTTGATTATTTGCAAACCTTCAATTCGTGAAATGGTGTGTCATAGGGAAGGCAACTTTTTAATCAATATCCCTCGAATGGTCTAAGAATGTGGGATCCATGAGTCCTGTTGGATTGAAATTTGGCAAAGTTGTCCCTGCTACAGTGCTGCAGTCATGTGATCTTCATTTCCAATACTCCCTGCCACCTTCCTACAAGGAAGTCAAAGAGGAAGCTGACAGTAAGTCAGAAGTTCCTCTACTCCTACTGCTTTTTTGCCTGCCCATGGTTATTCTGCTTCTCTGTTTAGGTATGAAAGTGTCCCTGAAATAATGACCCAGCTTGTCACTTATTCAATAAAGCTGAGATACCCAACATCTGACCTATAAAAATAAATAGGGTGACACATCATATATGTCTAATGCAACACCTAATGGGATGGTGGAGCATTTTGGAACAAATTCAGAAAAAACAGTGTACAAGCATAGCACTTGTTTGTAATTCTTTAACGAGCTGAATTCTTTCTCTTTGTGGTTGCCACATGATTCTGGCAAAAGATACAGCTCTTTAAAGGGCAGCAAACAGGCATTACATTCATCTGTGCACAACAGAGCTTCTGACTGCCCTAATACATAATATTTAGTAGATTTTTATCCCATCTATATCACTTAATAAGTAACTGTAAACATATCTAATACTCTTTCCTCCCCACAACAACTCTGTGAAGTGGGGTGGGCTGAGAGTGACAAGACCAAAGTCACACACCTGGCTTTCATGCTTTAATTCCCACAGTCTTCTGGTTTCTGGGCCAACTTCTTAATCACTATACTAATCTGACTCTCTGTAATTTAGGAGCTCATATAGACTAAAAGTTGAGCTTACTATTTGGTAGCCATAAATGGGATTACGGTCTAAAAGGATTATTTTGATAAAGGAATGTGCAATATTTATGTCTCAGATTTAAACATACATTCAGAGAGGAGTTGTGGCAATTCTATTAAGTATGCAATCTGTGCAGTTTCCTGGAGAAATTTATGAAACAAGGCTTGTTTGAACATTATCTGAAATTTTAAACAGAAAAAAAGGCTTCAAAAATGTGGGCCAATGTTGAATGGAAGAGTTAATATTGCGAGTTTCTACAGATGAAAAAGCTGATGGCTTTTGCTTCTGAATTGGAATTTGTCAAAAATATGTTTACAAAAAGATACAAACACCATGATTAAATGGCTGGTATTATCAGGTTAATTTTAAAAATATTGTACTTCAATAACAATAGTTATTGAATTTCCTCTCTCCAAAGTAATTTCTTCTCAGCAGTCGTCCGTGCAAGTTTTTCTCCTAAGTTGACATCGCCCGGTTGATCTTGATCTCTTGGGAGGCCGTCACGGTGCCGGCCCTCTTTCCTCTACCTCTCCCCCCTCCCCCTCCCCAAGGTCAGCACGCACCTGCTTACCTCGTTGACAATGGTGTTGTCGTAGTACTCTCGACTGAACTCCCAGCCATCCAGGCACTCCTCCTGCCCCACCTGGCTGAGGTTGACATCGCGCCCGGGCTCCAGGTTGCCGGCCGAGAAATTGAGCAGGGCCTCGAGGCGGTAGCGACTGCACTGGCTCCGTACCTGCCGCCCGCCACGCTTCTCCAGGGGGATGCTGGCGTTGAGCCACGCCGCGCTCAAGTTGACGTTAGCGGGCACCCGGCACCAGTGCTCGGGGGTGGCGGCCAAGAAGACAGCGGACAGCCCCGTGTAACCGTTGGGGATGATGCTGGCGCTGAGCAGGAAGAAGATGAGGCGCTGAAAGGGGCCCCATTCGCCCAGAAAGGCGGTAGCCTTGTCGTAGTCGAACATAACTGGCGACTGGCAGTTGCAGAACGGCTGCCAAGGAACGGCCGCGGCGCCGGACGCCGCTCTCGTCAGCACATGCAGCAGCTCTTGCTGGCTCGGGCCAAAGGAAGGAAGGGCGAAAGAAAACCTAGCCGGCCGCCGGCAGTGAAGGGCAAGAAGCGGGGGCCGGTTTAGGAGGCTGGTTGTGGGTGTGGTTTGTACACAAAGGGCTGGAGCGCCGCGTTCAGCCCGCCTATGAAACCGGGGACGCGTCTGTCTGCAAGTTCCCGCGCGGAAGAAAGGGAATAATTCCCTCCCCCTCAACTTTTTAAACGGGTTACTTGTACCACGTCCGCCTTTACTTTGACAGGAGATTGTGTAAAACAACGGACATGCGGACAGCAGGAGCTCAAGGGAGTGTGACAGGCAGCGTGGCTTGAAATGTATTACCTAAACACATTATTCAGGTCATAAGCAACCGTATTTGCTTAACACGTACAAAACTAGTAGAATAATAGATCTGGTGAACCACCTTTGCCTCATCTGTCCCTCTGCCTCTGTTGTTTAGCCCTGGATTTCCAAGAACAGTACAAAAGTTAGTTTCCCAGTTTCCTTTCTTGCACAGTCCCACAAACTATTCCATTTTACTTGTTTTATTGTGGTTGAAATGCTCACACCAATTTATGTAGACTTAGCATGAAGCCATGATGTTTATTTTGTTTATTGTTTCTGGCATCTCATAAAATATAAATCGATACATTATGGCTTTGCACTATGACCACCATATTATGTTCACCAGATCATATTTAAATTATCAGTTGTCATATGGAATTCATATGGCAGCCTTTTTCAATCTAATTATTTTAGTTGTTAAGTTAGTAACATGATTGTTAAGTCAATCCGGCTTCCCCCTTGATTTCGCTTGACAAAAGGTCGCAAAAGGGGATAACATGACCCTGGAACACTGCAACCATCATGAATATGAACCAGTTGCCAAATATCTGAATTTTAATCATGTGACCATGGGGATGTTGCAAAGGTAAGTGTGAAAAAGTCACTTTTTTCAGTGTTGTTATAACTGAATGGTCACTAAATGAACTGCTCTAAGTCGAGGACCACCTGTATTGTCAACTGCATTGGATTCCTGGTGGATTATATAAATCTAGTAGAACATAAAATCCAACAATAAAAGTATATCTAACTGCAGATTCTACTACGTAATAGGCAAATAATAGGGTGGCACATTTTTTAAACAAAGTGAAATAGTTGTAAATATAGGTACTAACTGAATGAATGTCAATAAGGAATTTCCACAAAACCAAAGTTGGTTTTATGGAAGTCAAATCTTGGAGTACCACATATCTAGCAAAAGTTTTTAAAGATGTTTCTGTTAGTTACTTGACCAAAGGTTAACTATGCACAATATGGGTGTGTGTGATACATGGCAATAATCAGGAATCCAGATGAGAACAACATTCTAGGTAACTAAAAATGTGTGCTATTTCTTCTACTTTGGAGCCGTTTTCTGACTTGGCCTGAATTCAGAAGTTAAATTAGGTAGGTCTTGTTATCCATGAATGGAATGTCAAAAAAAAACCTTATAGAAGACAAAGGCAAATCACTTTGATGTGATGCCAGAAAAGCTTGTGTAGACATGTTCATGAATTTATGAGAAATCAAGCTTGAGGTAGACTGGGGGTATTTTTAGTGGAACAAAGGTAATTAGAATGATATGAGCAACTGATGAGTTGCGGGTCCCAGTACCAGGATGAATCAGCTGACGACCTGCACCCAGACAGACTGTCTGGGTGGGCTCCTCTTGATGGCAAAGATGACAGACACAAAGGTTTCTTTTGGTGAGAGGAAAAGAGCCCAGAGCAAACTTTGCCCCTCTCTTTTATTGTGCAGCAAGCAGGGGGGTGGGTTTAGGTTACATGAGGTTAGACAGGAACAGGAAACACTGCCATATATGGTTAATCCTTATGCTATAGCTGACTCAGGATTTTGTACAGGAACAGGAAACATTGCCATATATGGTTAATCCTAAGTGACTCAGGTTTTACACGTAGCTGTTCCTATAGTGTCACCCTATATATGTATTGTATGTGTATTGGGTTGTCTGTGTACGTGACTTCCTACTGATGTGTCATATCGCAACAAGCAACATGGCAGTTTCATCACTTAAGCCCTGTCCCTTTTCCAAGCCTTTTTCTGTAGCCTCACATGTATGTACAGCCCAAAGGAACAGAATTTGCATTTGTTTTTTTCATTCTTAGCAAAAGCAGCAAAAATCTATGGATCCTGCTGAAGGAGACTTTTCCTGTAGTGGATGCTCATTTTCTTTGAACTTTGAGTTTTACCAAGCAAAATTTAATGGGATAAAACCTTAATTTCTACCTCAAAATATAATCCTCACCTAAAAAATGTGTAAAAAATGTGATCTGGTCAAGAATATACAAAGCTTTAAATCATGTTTTGCAAAGTACAATGGCTTGATAAATTAACATGGAAAATCAAAACCAAATTATATTGTGAGTGTGACCGAGTATGAGGCATAAAACTTGAGGCAGGTAACAATGTAGACAAAAATAATTACAGTATTTTTTGGACTATAAGATGTTCCAGACTATAAGACGCACCTAGGGAGGAAAACAAGAAAAAAAAAATCTGCCTCCCAGCAACTTGCCTCCTTACGGCAAACAGCCTGGTCAGCTTCAGTACAGCCTGATTTAGCACAAGCAGCTAATTGGCGGTTGGATCGGCCTCCCAGAATACTGTTCCTCCCAGATCAGCTGTTCCAAGCTGTGGGGATCACCGCCACCCATCGCCACTGCTGCACATCCCATTTTCGGCCTCTCTGCACCCTGTTTTTGCCTGTTCCAGGTGGCAGGGATCGCCACTGCCTGGAACAGGCCAAAAACGGGACGCACAGAGGCCAAAAACGGGCACACTGAGGCTGAAAACAAGATGCATGGAAACCTGCTTGCTGCAAGGAGGCAAATTGCTGGGAGGCAGAGGCCGAACGGTGGGGGCTGGTGGGTAGGTGGGACTTCAGCAACATTCGCTCTATAAGATGCAGACATTCCACTTTTTTGAGGGAGGGAAAATGTGTCTTATAGTGCGAAAAATACGGTACATATTTGTGCTTATCTGTAAAGCAAATAGTGACTGGGAGAGGATAAGGAAGTTTTTTTTAAAAAAGTAAAAAGAATTCTTACTAGTCCCATATTAAAACTCAAGTCTTCTATAGATATTTTAATTAAAAATAAATCAGAAAAGAGAATCATACATTGGTTGAATAGTTCTTTCTTTTTTACTTACTTATATTGCTTTATTTTTACAAATAAGTCAAGGCACTGAACATATCCAACACAGCTTCTTCAATTTTCCCCACAACAATCCTGTGAGGTGGGTTGGATTGAGAGTGAGTGACTGGCCCAAAGTCACTTTTCCAAGACCGACAGTAATATTTCAGATTATCTCTCTGCCAATGTATAAATATGCATTCAAAATATATGTATGCAACCATATTTACTATGTAACATCAGACTGTTCAATTCCATTGTACTGTTGTCACCTTTACATCTATCAGTTCAGAAGTGGTATTCAGCAGGTTCTGATCAGTTCTGGAGAACCAGTAGCAGAAATTTCGAGTAGTTCGGAGAACCAGCAAATACTACCTCTGACTGGCCCTTCCCCCATCTAGTCTCTGCCTCCTGAGTCCCAGCTGATCGGCTGGGTCTTCTTTTGCTGCCCTGCACAGGAGAACAGAGCTGGAAAGCAGGTTAGTGGGGTGGGGAGGGATTGGAGATTTTTGCAGTATCCTTGCCCTGCCACGCCCACCAAGCCATGCCCACAGAACCAGTAGTAAAAAAATTTGAATCTCACCAAAGTTGTAGCAACGTTTTGGCAGAATCTCATCTGCCATCATCAGGCTTCTGATGGCAGATGAGATTCTGCCGAAACGTTGCTACAACTTTAAAAGCACAACTACAATGTGGGAAAATACCTGAACAAAGCTGAATGCCATACATTTAAGTACCCGCGAAAACTTAAGAAATATATATATAGTGTGTGTGTGTGTGTGTTTATGTATTCCAGTTACGTACTAGGAGGGACTCAAAATGTATTGCATTAAGCAATGAAATATATTACTAAATTTCAGTTAAATTTAACTCTTGCTTGCTATCTTGGAGTTGACCATCTGATGAATACCTGAGGCTTCACACAAGCCTGTATAGAGACCAATACTTGAGGCTTCTTCAAGGCTGTAGATTTTTTCTTTGAACATACTCCAGGAAGGGAACTTGCCACGGCATGTGAGTAATTACATTAAAATAAACATTCACCAACTCAGAAGCGATTTATCACTAACCTCAAATATGGGTTTCTGCCTATGAAGGATAATGCTCATAGGTTAAAAGGTAAAGCCTCTCTCAAGTTGAGCTCAGCTCTTGATGACTTTATGGAGATGACCTTGGGTTTCCTTGAAACAATATAGATATGGTTGTCATTGCCTTGTTTTATTTCTTCTACAGCTCCTGAATGACAGAGGTTGCAAATGAAGTCTTTATAAAGGCTTTATAGTATTTCTCAATCAAATGGAGAATGGTTACTTATTGCATGTTTGCTTGGATAGGAAACAGATGAACTTGTATGCACTTCACTTAGCAAGATATCATTCAGAAGACCTGAGGCTGCAGATGTATTTCTAAACAAACATTAAACTTACATCTAGCTAACCTGAAGGAGAAAGATTTGAATTGTTTAATAACACTTTAGAGGAATGTGTTCAAAATATGTTGTCTTGGTATATAAGTAGAAATGTAAAATGTTTCCACCCTGAAATTTGAAAATGGTATCTTAACCTAAAACTAATTGGATCCAAACTTGCTTATCATTTTGAGATCACCAAGGGACCCTCATAATTGTCTCCAAAACTGTAATTCAAAGTATATCTTTCCAAGTGGAAGATATTTTTGAAATATTAACTTTGAGAAGACTTTTAGAAATTAAGAAAATGTGAATAATTTATTTTCAATTATTTGTCCACCTTTTTTATTCAAAGTAAGAATGTATATTTAAAATGCAAGTTTCTTAAATCTTTTTTGGTGCAGCAGACTAATCCAGTTCTTCTGGAATGTCATGATAAATTGCCACATTTATCACATAATAACTAAGTGAACCAAAAATATTTAACAGCTTTGATAATTGCTCAAAATATTTTGTCTGCTTTGGGATATAATGGCTGCTTTATTTTCTTATTACTTGTGTAAGATAATCTGTCCCAAGTTTGAAATTATAATGCAGTATTGATTGTAGTGCCCTCATAACGGTCCTAAAGTGATTCTTTCATACTTACTGATATATCTGTATTATTTAATACTAAATCAGCATCAACTCTCAGGCTAAGTTTCATTGGTTCCCCAACATCTATCTTACACTATATATTCATGTTTCTTATTGATTTGTTAGTTCTTTGTACTAAATAAGGACAATGTTATCAGTATCTGAAGGAAATGTATTTTTTATATTACTATGCACATAGAATTTCCCTTTTTTACTCTTCAAGCACAGAAAACTCAGCATAAGTTTTGAAGGTTTTGTTTATGTTTTTATTCGCAATGAAGAAAATAAAGAGATACTATTACAGGGTGATGCATGACAGATTCCATAAACTTTATACAAATTGGCACAATCCAAATGAACAGTGAATAGTCCAACATAGAACATAAATTTGTAAGATAGAAGTTCCTCTCTGCCTTACACTTTGTCTCGATCTGCTCTGAGGATCCTCCAATAGAAAAGACCATTGTACTCTTTTCCTCCTCCTAATCACAAAACCAGTTCTTTCAGTCGGAGAACCTGATTCCATTCAATATTCAGTACATTATCAGTTACAGTATAAGTGCAATGCAAAACAGGTCTAAAAGCTGTTAGAGGAGATATATGGAATAGATAACTCACACTTTGGTTAACTGAGAAACTTCAGTCTTTTTTTTAAATAAGAAACACCAAACATGACAAGGCACTTTACAAAATTAACAATTAAATGGAATTTGTTCAGCCTGACTTATAACTTGTAGCCTTTTATTGAAACCTAATAAGAGCCAGATTCCTTCCTTTTTAATGTCTTTCAGAGCAGTAGCAAAAAAATGGAGCTATATTGAAGTGTTGATTCCCTACTTGCATGACTGATAAATATGTTTCACTGAATGAAACAAAATTGTGCATACTGCCTACCAGGAGACATGATTAAAACTTTGGCTAGCACCACAATTGTTTTACAGAAAAAAAGGAAGGATTAAAATGTGACAATGACTCGCCTTCTTCCATTCCAAATGGTCCTCCTTCCATTTCCTGTTTTGGGAAGATTGAAATCATCTGAAAAATCCCTGAGAAAAGTCTATATTGTCAAAGAATGTACATTTTACTGAAAAATATTTTGATGCAGAAATTATAGGATCAATACTGCGGAACTTAATGTCAAAAATCCATGCCTGGAAGTTATAAATCTTCAACTACCTAGCAGTGAAAGGCAAAAGGAAATACAATTGTTGCTTTCTTCAGCAGGCTTTCTTCAACTACTAAATTGGACCACATTAGATGAAAGCAGCTATATTATAAGAAATTAAGGAGGTTAAATCAGGAGGTTAATCGGGAGGTTAAAATGTCTTTACAACTTGCCCTAGGTCAGATAATACTGTAATAATCTTTAGAGAAGTGATCCCTCCAAAAATTAAAAACAAACTCACAATCTTCTAGAAAGTGCAGCTTTTCAAACTGGACAGTGTTGAACTAAAAATCAAGAGACTCTTTAAACAATGAAAAAACTAGCAAAACTAGATTCTCCAAAAAAGTACCACAAATATTGTTTTAGAAACAGTTACAATTACAACAAGGTAAAACTGTATAGAAATCCATTATTTTGTTTAAAATATTTATACATAATATGTTTATACATATTGCCAGATTACAATACATTATTAAACAATTTTATCTGACAGATTTTTGTTGAGAAAGTTATTAGCATGAACTTCTTTTTTCTAAATGATGTTTAGGAATCCTGCCTGTTTGCCGCAGGTAAAAACCTGAGAAAACACTGTAGATCCAGAGTTATAGCTTGTGATTCAGAACCTGACAATCTTACAAATAAGTAACTTGAATGTTAGAAGAGTCATGTTAAAGACTATGTACCAGAACCATAAAAGAATTGAAAAAGAAATGAACATAGCATACATTAATATGTTAACATCACTGCACAGATTCATAAGGCGAAGGGTTCTCCTACAAGGAACAGAAGGTACTAGTCCTAAATTTGTCACTTGAAAGTCAGGGGTTGATTTAAATGCTGCTTTGTTCTTTTGCCATTCTTTTTCAAGGTAGATATAGATGATCCATACAGAATGTGAAGTTATTAGTTTTTAGTTTCAAAGGAGTGGTTAGAAAAAGCTGCTTTTATAAAGAATTTCTTTGCCATATTTAAAATTTGTTAAGTAAAATTTAAAGCAGCCTTCACAGAACTATTACAGATAATGTCCAAGATAGTCTTGTCCATCCGATGTATTACAATATAAACTCCGTCATTCTCATCAATAGCATTATCTTGGGATCATCACATTGGAGAAAATTGGCCTAAGGTCATAAAACAAATTATTCTGGACTAGTAGTATTATAACAAAGCATGCTGTATTCAGATTAATGGTATAAAAACAGCATATTGTGCAGTTTTGCTACAGTTAAGATTCTGACATTAGTGGGTTACATACTTTTTAATGAATTAAATCTGATTAATATATTACTAGGAATGGTACTTTGGCAGTAAAAGCAGGAAAGCCAGTTTGCTCCCATGACGCAGGCAAAATCTGAATTACAGAAGTTTACATTTTCATAGAATGCTATTTTAAGCTTTACAAACCAGAAACAAGAAAGATTTGGTTGACAAAAGATAAAGAATTTCAGTGTTAAATGGGCAACAAATTGCAATCTACACATAAAGACCCAACTGTCTGAATACTTGATTTTAATCACTATCTTATCATATGACTTTCAGCATTGGATTTGCTGACAAGCTCATGCAAGCCATCATCTTTAATATTTACTTTATCACCTAAAATGTTTTTAAAATCCAGTTTCATAAAATAATTTCTTCTGGCAGGCTGACTTACATCCAACTTAACACCTAATTTATATTTCTCACTGAAGAAGATAAACAAAGAGCTGTATCTGGGCCTAGTGAATGAATGAATGATATAAATAACTGGAATGCAAAGTGTGGAGAAACCCTGCCTACATATTGTGTGCATTGCTCTTTCTTTGACAGATAAATTTCCTAAAAGATAGGAGCCAATGATAGTTAATTTTAAATTTTGGATTTTCAGAGCTATTTTCTGGTTGACAGAGGAAAATATAGTTATAATTTATTTCTAATATGTAAATTAATTTCAAAACACGTGCTTCACTTTTAAAAGTATCTTTTTAAAGTTTAAAGTTACGTTTTATTATAGTCAATTTTTTCCTTTAAAGATTTTTCAAGTGAGCCTTAGAAAATACAACCCTATCCACAAAAAATTCTGTCATTTATTTTCTAAAGAGTAATATTATAGATCTTAATCCACACTTTAAAATACTTAAAAATGTTCTGAGTTCAAGAAACACATAACTAAATGTTATATAAAGTATAAATACACATATAACAATAAAATAATACCGGCACCTCAAGAAGAGATGAAAATATTCAAGACCTCACAAAAATGCAAATCCCAAACCAAAGGATAGAAATAGTTACTGATAAAAGTAACTTGTGCCAACACAGCAATTTAACACAATTCCACATATTTGGTACATCAGTGTTTTGAGAACCGCAGGATCATTAGGAAAAGTCTAATAGTGTTATTGACTTTCATATATCTTTAGATAAACCACACATTCCTCCATTCAACTGATATGATCAAAATGATGTCATATCCTTAATGGGCAGTTCATTTTGCTCTGAATTATCTACCTTGTAGTCATGTTTTCTTTTGCTTAACCTAAAAACAAATAAAAAATAATGTACATTAGAAATGATGGCAGCAAACAATTACTTTTCTTACTTTCCAAATGCTGTCTTATAAAAATATATTTTGGCATAAATGTGAACTATTAAGGAAGGAGTGGCTCTGATTAACAGTCCCAAAGACAAGTAGTAGGAAAATATTTCCATTAAACTGAATGAAAAACATACTTTGGCGAACCTGGCCTTACAAGAATGGGGTGCTAAAATGGAAGCCTCATTCTGTAAACTCTGCATGTAATTCCTTCTCCAAATACCATAAAAAATCCAGGCATAGGGGTGGTGGCAGCTGTCTGATACTGCTGAAAGCCTCAATCCTCTACTTCAGGCCCAGCCACAGAGCTACTGCCAATGAATGCTGTTCTGCAGGACAGCCAAAAGATCACAAACGGTGGCCGGGGGGCGGGGGGGGAAACAGGAAAGGTGCAGCACCCTGTGATCATACAGGAAAGTGCCTGACTTCTGATCATTTGACTATCGGAGCATTCAACAGCCGTAAGTTCAGGCACAGGTCATAAATCCTTTCATTCGACACCGTAATTTCAAGTGGTCACTGAATGAATGATTGTTAAGTCAGTCTATCTGTATAATAACATTTTCTTTGTTATCCATGATATCCTCAGGAATCTTCCCAAACTCAAAAATTCAAAATTATCAATGTTCTTTATATACTGCTCCTTCAGAGCAAAACTTTTGCTTCCATATGGCATCACAGGGGGGAAAAAACTTTGTGTACACATTTCTGAACTTTTTCGATATATACATATCATGACATCTGTATATATTCTCCAAGATACTTTTCTTTTCCTATCAAGTGCTGGCCTGTGGTATATTTTTCAACTGTTGGTTCCCTTGCTATTGCTAGTTAATTTTAAAAGGAAGAAGCTGTCACTCCAATGGCTTCAATCACTTCAATGGCTTGTTAATTCTATTCTATGGTATCTGTTGTCATTAGTTTTATCTGCTTTATATTTAATCACAGACCCATTTTTTCATTATGCATCTTTATTTTCATTATTAGAGCTTAACAATAATTTGATTTTCATTTATCACAGTCCTATCATCAGCACAGGTTGATATATCTTCCTCCAGTTTTAAAATCACATTAATCTTCTTTCATCCAGCTCTCAAAATATATTCCATGTAAGTTTGAATAAGGAGAGAGTATATTCTCTCCTTATTTTGTTTCATCATGTTCCATACAGCCTGGTTTCCTTTCCTGTATGTAGATTTCTTATGAGGACAATGAGTTTATATACTGCAATAGATTCATTTGACTGCCTACCCAACAACTTCAGTGACTCTAAATGTTTTGAGATTCCCGTTTTCCTAAGAACAGTCTCTAGCTTGATGTAGTTGTACAATCAAAAGGCTTTCTATAATCAATGAAGCACTTATTGACTTCTTTTTGGTATTCTTTGGCATTTTCAATTATCCAATTGCATAAGTAATAATAATGTCTCTAAAAGCAGCTTGAGCATCTGGTATTTCTCTTTCCAAGTTGGGCTATAATGGTACAATCCTTAACACAGTTTGGTAATATGTGAAATCAAGGATATTTTTACAACAGTTTGTAAATTCTGTTAAGCTTCCCTTTCCTGTTATTGATGGAATGACCTCTTCTCATCTGTTGGACCAGTGTGTCAATTTCCAGATTGGGTGGCATAGTTTGATTAGAATGTTTACTGATTCTTCTCCTGTTGTTTCCAATATTTATATAGATATTCCATCAGTTCCTATAATCTTTTGATTTCATAATGATCAGCATGCTGATCAAAATGATCTTTTGGCAGAAGCATTTCTTATAAATATAAAATTATTTTTAAAGTATCTTAGTCATTAGCATAACATTCAGAATTTTAACCTTTCATTTTTGCTTGATCCCTCTGAATCAGTTACTGTCTGTCCCTTGGCATTCTTTAGCATACCAATTTAAGGGTGAAAACTCTTCATCTTTTGAATGAATTGCTGTTGTTTTTTCCATATCTGTTTCCATACACAATGCCTTTATATGAAATATAGTAAGGAATTCTATTTCAGTAAAATCAAATTACCCTTTAATTTGTTGCATCTCATCAAATGTCTCTGGCAGGGGTTTCCCATAACTTTCTGGTAAGAAGAGGGTGAGAATTCCTACCAATAATGTTAGGCTGCCCATGAAGATGTAAGGCAGAAATTTACCATAAGCACCTGGTAAAACATAAAAATAGGTTAATTACACAATGTTACAATATAAATTCATAATCCCTTTATCTATTTGATTCCTGCCCTTTCCTCCTGGATTTTATCTGGATGTATTCCTTTTAACCTTAACAGCAATCTTTCATGATCTTTACTTTAAAATTATATTATTTTGCACTGTCCAATCTGCACAGTGTTTTGCTATTTTTGTCATGTGATTTTACTGTACAGGTTTTGCTCCTTTGAATCACATTTTATGATACGTTTTAATTGATTTTTTGCTGCATATTATCTTGGTATTAGATAGAAGGTATGATTTAAAGAAGTCAGACATTTAGAGTGTGATTTATCAGGTAAGATTTATGAATGATTGGCAATTAATGTCTATATGTTTGAAATCCATGTTTCAGCATTGGATATCATTCAACAAAATATTTCTTGGTAATTTTGTTAAGAATTGCTTTTTGTTGTGCCTTTAAATCAGTGTTGATTCCTTGACAATATTTTAGAAAGCCTGCTTCCAAGGCCTGAAAGAGTTACTGGCCTAAGGTCACCAGGCTGGCTTTGTGCCTAAGGAAGGACTAGAACTCCTTCTTTCTGATCCTGGTACCTGTAACCACTATCCCCAAATAGTCATCTACTACTGGTAATAATTATTGGCCACGAATTACAATCCACCATTGGAAAATGACTAGGAATCAAGTGCTTCTAGAAGAATAATGATGGCTTGCATTGAATATCTAGATCTTTTGAAAGACAGTGTGAGTTAAGCCTAAAAAATAAACACAGAACTAATGAGACCACAGAAAAGTTTACTGAGTATTTCTCCATTGTCTCAAAGCTAAACTAGGGAGCATTTTATTTTGAGCACATTTAAAATGATAAATTTCTTACCCAGGAAAACGAAGTATGGTGCAATAATGCTGCCCACTCGGGATGACATGGAAGAAGAACCCACTGCCATGTTTCTTACTATTGTTGGGTAGAGTTCTGCAGTGTACACATAAAGCATGGAGAAGGCTGACGTGATCCCAAATTTCCCCAGCATCACTAAGATGAGAGACAGAACGTGGAGATCTGTGGGAAGAAGTTAAGGAAGAAACAAACTTCAGTGATTCTTTTATTAATCAACTTTGCACAAATCCTATTTTTACCTCAATTCATCATCATCATCACCATCATTTCAACCATTGTCTATGCACTGCAGGATGAAAGCCTCTTCTGCGGAGGCTATCAAGTGGGATCTATTCTATGACTTCTTTGGTCCACAGGCCATATAAAGCTGGAAACCTCCTTAGATATGCTTTTAAGGCCTAATTTGTATCATGCTATGAATTCTCAGAAACTGATACAAAATCTTTGAGAATCGTGATACTAATATAGACTTCTCCAGAACAGAAGTGGGTATGCATGCAAAGGTGACTGTGGAAGAGTGAAAGATCACTTGATCAATCACAAATAACCAAAATATCTTACGTCTTCATGGCTGCATAACACAAAAAAGGTACTAGCAAGCTATCAGAGGCTAGGGAGAAAAATCACTGCTGGAAAAAATTACCTACAACATAGCTATCCAAACAATACTGCTTCATAAAGATGCTACACAGGTGAAAACACAACTGCAGTTATGTGAAACTGCAGGCATGGTGGTCTAAGAGCATATAATTCACTGGTAGCCTTTCTAGCCATTTTTTGCCACTCATCTACAGTACATTTAGTAATCGAGGACACTGGAATCTGTTAAATCTATCACAGATTCAAAGACTAGTCTTCAAAAGGTAAAGGGATTTTATGCACCATAAAATCTGAAGTAGAAGTCATGCAAAATAACTGCTCAATATTTTGCTGGCCTGTGACCATAACATTACTCGATTTGATTTGTTTCTTTAATGCTGCTTCTTCTCTGAAGGAATGGCTTGTTGGGCCTGAAAATGAAAAGTATAGGCATGCAAAGAAAGAATCCTTTAAATCCAAAGTATAGTCAGATAGATATGAAGGAGAAGACACTTGGTTAGAGATACTGTCAAGACAGGCTACATGAAAGTAGGTATCTACAATGTGATGCTGTAAAATTTATTTTTATTTATTTACTTAGAAAATGTGTATAGTTGCTCCAGCATAAAAAAAAACCTCTGGGTAATTAACAATAGCAAACAAGGTTAAATAATTATAAAACATTAACCAAAGTACCATAGAATAAACTGAGTTACACAGCCATACCTATGTTGGGTTTATCTATTATCCTGGCCCAACACCTGGAGGAAAAGTCAGATTTTCATAGCCTTCCAGAAGACCAAGAAAGTCATGGCCAATGACAATGCAAAAAAATCAACACTGGATCTGAAAATACTGTTGAATATGTGAAGCAAGAATTAAAGAAGGATCAGAAAAAACAGGCATCCTGGTGCCAAAGTGAATTGTTGAAAACTGGGCATTCTGAACAAAAGTGAGTGTAGAAGAGTGTTATAGAATAGTTATAAGTAGAAGACTGCTAGTATGGCAGCTGCAGAATAACCAAAGGTACTGCAAGAGTATTACTGAGGCATCTCAAACGTGAGTTGAAATCACTTGGGGAGTCATGAGTAATTAACAGGATCTAGCATGGGGAAAATGGGAATGATGTTAGAATGTTATTGCTACCATGTAGTAATATTTGTAATGTTTTCTTGTACTGTGCTAAAAAGAGTCAGAAGTCAATGCCTTTTTCTTTCTTCCCTTGTACCTCGTATTTTCTTTCCCCCTTTTTTCCTTCCCTTGATTTCCTATTTTTATTTCTCATTGTATTTTATACATAGATAAAACAATAAAAAGTGTTGTATATACACACATACAGTATTTACATACATATAAAATAAAAGAATGTTACTGCTACCAGAACTGGATTGTAATGGCCCTTAGTGGATAGCTGCAGAATTGCAAAGTTTAAGAACTTTTGCATTTAGAGATTCAAATGTAATTATTAAAAGTCAATTATATATTTATTATTTTGCTCAGCCTTAAATCCAACGAAGGCCAATAAGAAATAACAGTACCCAAAAGCTGAGCAACCATGTTTGGCTTTCTACCAAATTCTTGCTACCATTTGGACATTGTTTAAAAAAAAAATATTGCAGTGTATTTTGTAGATGTGTGGTGCACAGAGGTCACAAAAATAAACTGATAAACATTCCTACAATGTTCTGTGAATGCAGATCTCTAAACATACATAATCTTAACAAATTTTCCTGGAATAGAAAATTGAGAATCCACATGATATAGGTGTAAAAAATAATTATTTAACACTTGTTCCATTTCCACATACAGTATTGACAATTACTACAACACAAATGAAATGAAATAACACACACAGACATCTTACCTGGAGGTACTAACTGTATGAACAAAATAACTCCTCCTCCCAAGAAGAGGGTGCCAGCTATTGTATAGCGCCGAGGTAAGACCCGCAAGAGGAGCCAAGCAATCACATAGGCTGGGACCTCAATGACTGCTGACAGAAAACAATTGAAATAGGCATCTCCATGCAGATTGGGGGTGCTGAGTGACAAGCCAAAGTAGCCAATAGATGTAAACATCCTGAGATAAAAGAGAAATCAGCAAATATAAATAGCCACAATCTGACACAATCAGCCCAATAGCAAAACAGACTTATTTCCTATTTTACTATTTTAGATGGCACTTTTTTGAATTGGAATGGCATTAAAATATGCTTTGGGAAATTACACATACAACCCTCTGGACATTTATGTTTTGATACTGCTTTACTGTTTTTCAATAATTTATGTAAACATGTATCTTAATCAAATGGGGCTAAATTCATAATATCCCTAGATGAAATATAACCTAGTCCTTCTAATGACAACAGGGAAAAGCTGACTATTCACCCTAAAGTATTCTTAAGTGCTGCTTTATGGGATGTACCTGTTAGAGGGAAGCCATCTAATTTTACATGCTGCTTGCTCATATGGGAAGACAAGAAGCTCCTCAGGATTCTCAATTATCCAATTCAGTATATGAGATAGCAAATAGCACTTAGCCTTATATACTGCTTCACAGTGCATTACAGCCCTAAGTGGTTTAGAGTCAGCATATTTTCCCCAACAATCTGGGTCTTCATTTTACCGACCTCAGAAGAATGGAAGGTTGAGTTGAGCATTGAGCCTAGTGAAATTGGAACTCCAACTACTGGCAGCCAGTGATCAGCAGAAGTAGCCTGCAGTACTGCATTCTAACCACTGAGCCACCACGGCTCTTGATGCTGAAAATTTAACTGAACTGAGTGTTAAATATTGATTCCTTCTGTTCAGAAAATGTATACGATTGCAGAAAGTGTTACACAATAAATAGTGCCTACGCAATAGCTTGCATCTGAATCTCTTGATAACCTATAGTATAGTGACAATGTTCATTATTATCTGGTGCCAAAAGTGCTTGCATTAATAGTAGCTTTTAAAAACTAATGTCCAATGTTAAATAAGCAGGCTCATATCTTGTATTTTACCTTTGCTGATAAAGTTCAGTATTTTCAATAATATAAAATTATTTTTAAAACAGTGTGCAAAGAATTGACTGGACTAAGACATCTCTGGTGCTTAAACGTAAATTGTTTCCTTTTTTTCCTTGACTTTTCATTGTTCAGTTAAACTGTTTTTTATTATTATTTTTCTATCTAATCTGCAGTGCTGGAAACAATAATAGTGTGATATTGTTTAGTCTGGTGTTGTATCTAATCCTGTTGGTTAGTCATTAGCTTTGTCTGGTTAAAATGTTAAGGTAAAGAAGTAGACAAAAGTGTTCTGATGCAGTTTAGTTACTGAAGGGTTTCTGACTGCATGAACTCCATTGCTCACAATTCCAAAATCCCTCCATACTTACACGCATCAGCAAACAATCTAATAAAAGGTCCTCTAGGTGTAGAAAATTATTTATAAAAACGTTTGCAATTTTCTGATCTACATCACATTTTAATGGCAATTCACATGTTAAGGGCAGCTGAATATGCCAAGCAGGGCAGCAACATAAATCAAAATATAAAATAAAATCTCATTGGATAAATAAGGATTGGAGTGTCCCAAACAGCCTAACATGCCCTGAATAAAAAACAGATCATCGGGTGTCTGCATTTAATGGGCCTCTGCATTAAATGAGCCTGCTGTTGGAACCTTACCATAAAAGAAGAGACATAAAAGTCATAATTGCAATGTTTCGTGATCTGAACAAGTCCAAAAACACACCCTGATGTTGCTTGGCTTTCAAATCTTCTACCTTAAGAGGAAAAGAAAGGAAAAAGGGAACATTCCAAAACCAAGCAAGTAAACAAACATAAATGTCCTGGATAGCACACAAGGCAAAGAAAAGGAAAACCAAGCCGTTGGTTAAAAGAAGATGGACTGACTTATTGATTGCTTTCATTTTGACAATTTTGTGTATTTTCATTCTCATTCTGCACAGATTTTAACCTGTTTTGGAGATCAGCTCAAAAGTGAACTATTTTACAAAATTCTTTATTGTATGAAAAATAGTCTTATATTTGAGAATTAGCCTCAATTAGTAACAATCAATTAACAAGGATTGTGGGGAATAGAGACCTAATGAATCATATTTATTGAACACATGACACATACTCAAGCAACAAGAGATCCATAATAAAAACAGCCAGATATGAAATAAAATACTCAACACTTTGATGTGGTTCCCAGTTTCATGAATAGTTTCCTTAGGAGGTACAGCTACTGTAGCTCTAGACTTATGACCATTCAAAATTATGGTGCTGAAAAAGATCTGGTTCTTGCATTTATGACTGGTCCTCACACTTATGACTGTTGCAGGATCTCCATGGTCACCTGATCCAAATTTGAGAGTTTAGCAACCAACATGTTTTAGGGGTATTCAGCAATCTTCCCAGTTGGCTTCCAACAAGTAAAGTCAATGGGGAAAGCTGAATTCATGTAATAGCCAGGTGATTCACTTAATGACCATGATGATTCACTTAATAATAGCAAAAAAATCATAAAATTGGGCACGACTCATTTAATGACCACTGCACTTAGCAATGGAAGTTCCACTCCCAATTGCAGTGTAAGGCGAGGACTACTGTAGCTTCCTACATCAGAAATATGTTTGTAAACTGTCCCGGGAAAACTTTTACCTTTAAGATAAACTCATAACAAATAAAAACAACACCTGACAGATTAGCTTATTTTCTTCATTATGACTGCAACTACAAGTCATTAGCTCATTAGAAAAGACAGGTAGTGTTGTCTGTGAAACCAGAGCAATTAACAAGTAGAGATGACTAGATACTCAACTACTATAGTAATGCAGTACAGCTATTTGATTTCATTTTTAGAGCAGAATTAGACATTCTTGGGGATTTTCCATTCTGGAATTTGGTTTGGGTGTGCCAGTGAAAAGTGTGTCCCTAAATTCTAATAAATAAAAAAAACTCTTTGTTTTTTGCATGTCTCTGGTAAAATTAGAGAACTTTTGAGCATAAAACCAAGAGTTTTCCGTAACTATAAAAACTGAGTTTGTAGCCTTCCACAGAAGTTCATTTCTGTTTTCTTCTATAATCTTTATTTTAACAGTCTCGATTGGGTTGAACTGGGTTGGGAGAAGAGGCATATCAAAGTAAAATTGAGTTAAAACCTCTTGCAAACTGAATCACAAAGAGACACACAACAGCTAACCAATGAATTGCCTATCTTGACTTTCTCTTAGCATCATTTTCTACTTTATTGCCACCCATAACCAAGAATATATAATTGACAGAGAAAATAACAACTTCATACATTAGTTGGTAAATAATTACATTGGAGGTGGTTGATCAACCTTGTTCCATTTGACTCCAAAACTCATTACTCTTCCCAAGTTTGTTTTTTAAAAATAAATTGAGTCATACCATGTGGCCAGAGCCTTTTTTTAAAACAATGCTACAATGGAATAAACTAGTAGTATACATATATAACAGCCTTTATCCTCAAGACTTAAGATGAAAATTAGCTACACTAGGTGGACTGCTTGACTAAATGTTTGGGAAGGAGGGAAAATACATTTTGTCCAAAGTCCATTTCACAATTATGTCAGTGATCCGATCAAGTTCAGTTATGTGTGATTCATTATTTATCTGCAGCTCACAAGGGGAGGGATATGATTTTTCCCCTCCCTGGAAAACAAAAAAAATGATATAAAGCCATCCTGAAACTTTAAATACAATGGGCAGCATGCCTATCCAAGCCAGAAATACAATCTAGGGCAATTAATGGCTAAATGATAAACCCTGCCAATGTGATTAAACCACAACATTTGAGCGAGAATAGAACTATAGCTGACAAGTAGAATAATAGAAGTGGAATAAGCTCCAAGCCGCCTCTGAAATATATTAAAATGCCTGCTGTGGGGGATAAAAGTGGAACATAGGCAGAAAACACGAGAGACAACGTTATATTTAGAATCAGGAAGGTTTCTTGATCTTGGCTGTGTTACTGAGCTAGCTAGATTTTTATACTTGTTAAATTTATTTTCAGGCAAACATTCATGGCATATTATCTGCTCTTGTTCTCTTCAAGGACATAGCGGTGTTTTATTGCACATATAACTGGGTTTATAATGCTCACCTGGAAAAATTGTTGATGTTTTTGAAGACCTTGCCATATATGAATCACTAAATGGTTCTTACTGTTAATAAGTAATAATTGACTCAGATATAAGTACTAGTGCATGCAAACTATCACTTGCTCTACCTTAAGAGTTATGTTTTTTAACATGACCAGGGGTACAACTGAGACCTGCTGTTTATCTATTTGCCTTTTATCTGTTTCTCTAACTATCTGATTAGCTTTTTATCCCACTTTTATTACTTTATAAGTTACTCAAAGCTGTGTTCATACATAATATGTCCTTCTCCTATTTTCCAATCTTGTGAGGTAGGGTGGGCTGAGAGATGGTGACTGGTCCGAAGTCCCCCAGCTCAGTCACTATTATAATAGTGGGCTACAGCAAGTACAACAAAAATATAAATATACAATTTTCTGAGTCTATGGCTTCAAATAATTGTTGATGACTGGTGACTGCCTGGACAAATGGTTTGTCCTTGCCTGCTTTCTAGGATGGAGAGTGAGTGACTAGGCTGGGGCTTTATGCCTAAGGTGGGACTAGAACTTATGGTTTCTAGGCAGGTACCTTAACCACGCTACCAACTCCTAATACTTACGTCTACTGGATCTAAAATTAGTGTTGGAGCTGGAATCCTGTTTGTTTTTGCCGCCTTCCGAATAATCACTTCAGCTTCTTTGAATCTTCCTTGAGAGATCAGCCACTGAGGAGATTCAGGAATAAACCTGTAACAAGTCCAAATTATCTTTTAGCTTTTCTTTTTTTTTCATAAATTGATGCCATCACAGTGACTGAAAGGGTTTTCACTTAATTGTGATATGAGACGCCAAAGGTCTGGTCCACTTGTATATAGGAAGCATAGAAAGGAATGTGTCAGGGAGAGCAACTAACTAACTAACTCACTGCATTGTGTTTTATTTAATGATCGGGGAGCTAAATTCGGGAAATCATAGAAGAAGATGTAGATGTTACATTTTTCTCATTTCAAGGCAACTCTTTTTGTTTAAAAAGACTTCACATTTGATATATACATCCAAACATTTGAGTAAATACTTGCTAATTCTAATAGAACAATTTATGTTAACGTGTCTATAATCCACTGAACTGGGTAGGTGGACTATGAATGTGTTTATAATAAATATATTTCCTTGGAAGTGAGAATAATACAGACAGTGTATCTCTGACATGATGGTAGCTTAGACTGTAAGACACCTGGGATCTATATAAATGCTATATAGGAGCTAACGTATGTTAATACAATGTTCTTCCTTACATCCTAATTCCTTTTCTTGATTAATAATTCCACAAATGATTCAGATACATTGTACACCTATCTATCTGCTTTCTATAATTTGGAGAAAATTGAAATATATGTATAAAAAACTGTAATACTAATTCTCTGCAGTGAGTATTCAAAACTTCAAGGAAAATTTGGTATATTAAAATAACAGGTGACATCTCACTCATTTGAATACAATCTGTTATATAAATCCACCCTAAATATATCACAATTTATTTTATGCAAATAGATACATTAGGAGCCGTGTGTTGATTTCACCTGAAGAATTCAATTAACAAGGTCTTGTCTTTAGGGTCAATCAATCTGTGTGTCTTCTTGATGATAGTTTCTTTTATTCCTTCATAAGAGTATTTTCTTGGAAAGGAAATTATTAAAATGTCCAGAAAAATAGATTATGAATCTAATAACCTAGTGCCTCTAAATATTTTGATGCCTATTATAAATATTACTTTTTCAAAAAGTTAAGAATTATTAACAAAATTTTATAGGGACTTCTGGTTTTACTGAAAAATTAGTAAGGAAAAATATTCTCAATTTATATGCTTGACAAATGCATAATCAATATATTCATGAAGGAGTAATGCCCTCCCTTTTTTGAAGCAAATTTGGAGAGAACTCACAATCCCTACTTCAACTAGAGATACAGATAGTCCTCGAGTTACGATGACAACTGAGTCCAAAATTTATGTTGCTAAATGAAACATTTGTTAAGTGAGTTAGCCCCATTTCATGATTTTTCTTGCCAGAGTTGTTAAGTGAATTATTGCATTTGTTAAGTTCATAATACAGTTGTTACATGACTCTGGATTCCCCATTGATTTTGCTTGTCAGAAGGTCGCAGAAGCTGATCACGATATTGGAACACTGCAACTGTCATAAATATGAACCACTTGCCAAGCATCTAAATTTTCATCATGTGACCATATGTATGCTGCAATGGTTGTAAGTGTGAAAAACTGTAATAATCACATTTTTCAGTGCCGTTGTAACTTTGAGTGGTCACTAAATGAACTGTTGCATGTCGAGGACTACCTGTAGAAACTTTGAGGGATTTTCAAACGAAAATAACTTCAAAAAGGAACAGAGGAGGAGGAAGGCATGTGGAGGACTAGGAACAGGAGTGAGCTAGAAGTTTGCAACCTCTGAATAAAATGGGCTTTCAGAGAGAAAGGAATTTCCCAGTTAAAATGAAGCAAAAGGATCAGCAATTTCGAGAGACCCTTATTTTTGTAGAAGTATGCAAATTATGATTCTTTGATTTGTTTAATGGGTTCTTAAATATCTTTGTTTTGTTGGATAACGATATAGGAAGTTCAATGTCAACTTTCATTCATTTATACTTCAGACTGGCCATAAATGTTTTGCTTCTAAAATCCATTTGTTAGCAATGATAAGAACAGCAATAGTATTTGTTGTTAACCAGTGCCATCGTGCGTTCTGGTTTGCATCTAATTTTACAGTTCTTTTCTTAATAATTTGGAAGGCATGTTAGAACCATGTATAATTGAGGCATCTGGGTATAATTTTAAAATCTAAAGTTGTTACATTTTATACTTTTCTTTAAAAAATAAGTCTGACCCATCTCTGGTAAAATTGGTCCTTTTTTGGGTGATGTTGTTGATGAAACCTCAAGTCACTATACCACACTTCCAGGGCTTATAGTATAGAATTTTTTTTCAAACCCTTTTAGTTGCCAATAAGTCAGCAGATTGTGGGAAGCCTCTCTGTCTCAAAAACAGGATTAAAGAGATAACACCAAATAAGGTGTTCCCTGGAAACCACGTGGCGGCAGCAGGAGTTACCAAAGCAGTGCCCAAAAGTCAGGAGGGCAGAGCTAGGATTTGCTGGGAAAGCCAATTTGAGACCTCCAGACTTTCATCTTACCAGCTCAACTTTGCTACTACAACACAACATGCAAAGTACCAGATCTTTAAATATAATTCAAAACCGAATTAATATTAAGTGGGATACCAACAAATTATAATGCTGATAAACACTATAAATGTATCTATGATCTGAGGCTTTCTAAAAGATGAAACACCTATGAAGCACATGGAAAATCTAATTGTCCACTAACACACTTGTGGATCTGATTTCAAGCCACAGATTTTGTTCACTATTTTTAAAATGGCTGAATTTCCTGCAAGGATTTAAAGTCCTGGAGCATATCTTTTTAAAAAATTATTTAATTTATATGTCAATGTTTATATCTAAATGCCCCTCCTCGCAACTTAATAAAACAAGTACACTAGTCCTAAGACAAACTACTGAAATAAGCAGTACAAAACACAATCTCCTATGTATGAGGATTCATATGTGTTCAGTAAGTTCAAGCTGGCTTACATCTAGGCATGTGTACAGAAATGCAATAAAAGTACTGAATTTTTTGCTTCAAGGATGGTAAGAAAATTTGGATTGCATTTAGCTAATATATATATAGTAGCTAGGATACAGAAGCCTGATGATGGCACATGAGATTCTGCCGAAACGTTGCTACAACTTTAAAAGCAAAGTACAATGACGTGGGAAAATACCCGAACAAAGCTGAATGCCATACGTGTAAGTACCCGCAAAAACTTAAGAAAACACACACACACACACACACACACACACACACACACACACACATATATATATTCAAGCAAACAAAACCAGACCCAAAAGAGTTAACTGCTTCTGTTTTCACAGTCCTTGGCAGTCTTCCTGGAATCTGTCTGGCAAGTCTGAACTGTCCATAAATCATGACGCTGCGGCCAAAAGAGTCATATGCAATCTTTTCACACCAAAATACACTTTGCTTCCAACAAGGATTACGAGCTAGTACGCTTCCTTATATCCCCTGAGCGGGCGTGTCATTCTCACTAATTAATCACTGGCTTGACGCTTCTTTTCAAATTGTGATTGACGTTTCAATCTTCTTCTAGTCCTAGCATCAAGCCAACATCCGTCAGTGTCGTCATCGCTCGAAACCTCTGGCACGTTCTCCTGATTGTCAGTTAACAGCTGAGGTGTAATCAGGGAGGGAGATTCAGGGGAGGGAGAGAACTCCGAAACCTCCAGTAAAGCAGGCTCATCTCTCAGAGCCAACTCCTCCCCCTCTTCCTGACTCCCCTCTAGGTCACTTAATAATGCAGGCTCGAATCTCAATGCCAGATCTTCTTCATCACTCGAGCCTACATCTGCTGACTGACCAGGTTCAAGTCTCGGAGTCACAACATACACACACACACACACACACACACACACATAATTTAATACTATCAATTTTCAAACAGGCTAGAATTGAAGAAATTTTAAAACTTTATTTTATGAACCTGATTTTTTTTCTTGTTCAATAGTAGTCAGAAGCAGAAATTTGTGGTATGGCTCTATTCTTATAATCTGTGTTTAAAATATGTGAATCTTTTTTATTTGATTCAACCTTTGATCCATTAATTGATCAAAGCAGAACAGAGCACAAACACAAAACTCTTATTTCATCCAAATGTTTTAATATTCATGAACCACAGGGTTGTTTGTAGAGATATATTATTGATATGTCTTTTGTATGCAGCTTCTTACTCATAGGAAGGAACAATATATTTACAAGGGATTTCACTAAAATAGTCTCCTTGATCTACACTGCTCAAAAAAATAAAGGGAACACTTAAACAACACAATGTAACTCCAAGTCAATCACACTTCTGTGAAATCAAACTGTCCACTTAGGTAGAAACACTGATTGACAATCAATTTCACATCCTGTTGTGCAAATGGAATAGACAACAGGTAGAAAGCATAAGCAGTTAGCAAGACATCCCCAATAAAGGAGTGGTTCTGCAGGTGGTGACCATAGACCACTTCTCAGTTCCTATGCTTTCTGGATGATGGTTTGGTGACTTTTGAATGCTGGCAGTGCTTTCACTCTAGTGGTAGCATGAGACAGAGTCTACAACCCGCACAAGTGGCTCAGGTAGTGCAGCTCATTCAGGCTGGCACATCAATGCGAGCTGTGGCAAGAAGGCTTGCTGTGTCTGTCAGAGTGTAGTGTCCAGAGTATGGAGGCGCTACCAGGAGACAGGCCAGTACATCAGGAGACGTGGAGGAGGCCGTAGGAGGGCAACAACCCAGCATCAGGACTGCTACCTCTGCCTTTGTGCAAGGAGGGACAGGAGGAGCACTGCCAGAGCCCTGCAAAATGACCTCCAGCAGGCCACAACTGTGCATGTGGCTGCTCAAACGGTCAGAAACAGACTCCATGAGGGTGGTATGAGACCCCGACATCCACAGGTGGAGGTTGTGCTTACAGCCCAACACCGTGCAGGACATTTGGCATTTGCCAGAGAACACCAAGATTGGCAAATTCGCCAATCTGGCGCCCTGTGCTCTTCACAGATGAAAGCAGGTTCACACTGAGCACATGTGACAGACGTGACAAGGTCTGGAGACGCCATGGAGAACGTTCTGCTGCCTGCAACATCCTCCAGCATGACCGGTTTGGCAGTGGGTCAGTAATGGTGTAGGGTGGCATTTCTTTAGGGGGCCGCACAGTCCTCCATGTGCTCACGAGAGGTAGCCTGACTGCCATTAGGTACCGAGAAGAGATGCTCAGACCCCTTGTGAGACCATATGTTGATGTGGTTGGCCCTGAGTTCCTCCTAATGCAAGACAATGCTAGACCTCATGTGGCTGGAGTGTGTCAGCAGTTCCTGCAAGACGAAGGCATTGATGCTATAGACTGTCCCACCCGTTCCCCAGACCTGAATCCAATTAAGCACATCTGGGACATCATGTCTCGCTCCATCCACCAATACCATGGTGCACCACAGACTGTCCAGGAGTTGGGGGGTGCTTTAGTCCAGGTGTGGGAGGAAATCCCTCAGGAGACCATCTGCCACCTCATCAGGAGCATGCCCAGGCATTGTAGGGAGGTCATACAGGCACGTGGAGGCCACACACACTACTGAGCCTCATTTTGACTTGTTTTAAGGACATTACATCAAAGTTGAATCAGCCTGTAGTGTTTTTTTCCATTTTAATTTTGAGTGTAACTCCAAATCCAGACCTCCATGGGTTGCTAAATTTGATTTCCATTGATAATTTTTGTGTGATTTTGTTGTCAGCAGATTCAACTATGTAATGAACAAAGTATTTAACATGAATATTTCATTCATTAAGATCTAGGATGTCTTTTTTTTGTGTTCCCGTTATTTTTTGGAGCAGTGTATAAACCACTATCTATAATATTTTGACATGTTATTGGGAAAAAGAGGGTATTTACTGGTTAGAATCTTTACAGACCAAGTAACTTGTAGAATTAAAGTATATTAGGGTTAACAGACAATTGCTGGGCTAGAACAATCCAAAAAAATTGCTAGACAGAAGCAAACAATAGGATGCAGGAGGGAGAGTTCTGTATTGTTTTGTTATCAATCTACAGTAGTTGTTATATGGAATTTTTGCAAACTAGATCTGGTAGCTCTGGCTAAGTGAAATAGATTCCCATCTTCTAGGTCTCCCCTTTATCCCACCATTAAAAGTCAGAGTTTTTAATATTTGTTTTTGCTCTATATTACAACCATGTAAACCAACTTTAGAAGTGAACTAAATTTTTAAGTGGAAAATTCAATTAAAAGCCAGAAGTACAATGGCTAAGAACAACAACAAAAAGGGGCGGGGGGCGGAAAGAGAAGGAATTTGGGTTATATACAGAGAGGTGTTAAAGTGCACAAATCTAAGACTGAATAGACCAAGAAGAGAATAGGAGGGAAGAGGCCAAGCAAGACAAAAAGAAGCAATTTTAAAAGATGGAGGAAAGATAATACCTCACACTCGATTCTTATCAATATCTCTATTTACATTATCAAAGCATACAGCTGTGGCAACAACTTCTTTCTGAAATAGTAATCAAAAAGTAGCTCCTGTCATTATCAGAAAATTCATATTCTTAAATAGAATTTTCTTATTTTGATCCGCAGAAATATTTCTCATCTATCTCAGATAAAAAATATTTTTTTTAGCTAGATTCTCTTTTTGTCACTCTGCATGCAAAACTGGAACAGAAAGCTAAACTTTTCTACTTTTGTGGCTTTCTAGTGATACCATTGATAACCTTCACAAAACTGTGGTTCCTGAATCATAGAGCTAACTGTGAAGATAATTAAGCAATAGAGGCCAATAAAGTATAGGAAGAAATTTTTTAAAAAGGAGAAGTCGTCTCTATAGAACAATTGCTATGTGAAACAACCCATGTAGGAATTAATCAAGTTTTTGATTAAAATAATTTGCAACATTATTTCTGCAAAACACAGTCTAAAACACAGAGACATTTAAACATTATAAATCTCCAAATACACTTCTAATACATTTTAGAACAAATCTAGTATTTGAACAAAATGACTGACACATTGGAAAACAAAAATTGAGATCTAAAACATATAGATGTTTGTTTTAATATCAAGTAATGTGGGAGGTTGTATATTCATAAGTTAGAAACCACAGTATTTCCTTTGAGCTAAAATTGTATAATGCCTATGCAGAAATAAGGATTATATTCTTAAATTCCTTAATAACGTTGTAGCAACATGTAACTTTCCAAAAATTTTAATCTCTAAAACTGATATATGTTTTAGTGAACTATACATTTGCAAGCTATCTTTTAAATTACAAACAAATTCTTTAAAATGACATATTAAATACTGACAGTAATACGATACCAGAATCTAGTACTGAATCATTATTTCAGGCCAACAAATCAAAATTTGTTGAGATTTGAAAGTTGATGGAGTTATGCGAGCAGTGCCAGATCTTTAAGATACGAGCGCTGTACAAATCAGAAATCTGGTACTACCTTTTAAGTCTAATAAATTTTATTATAAAGCATAAAATTTTGCAAGTGGACCTCAGTTTATCAGATGCTTAGGCCTTATAATAAAATTGGTTAGTTTTAATAGATCTTATCATATACTTTCCAAGTTTTAGTTATCGTAAGGTAATATAGTTCTCCTTCAAAATGTTTTAGAAGCAAGAAAAAATGTATATAATTTCATAGCTTCAATAGTTCTTGGCACTAACAATTGGAAGTGGGTTCTCTTGATGCAATAATTAGTTTTAATAGTTTCATGAAGTTAATTTATTAGAATTGTTCTTAAAGATATAAACAGGACTGAATATTCAGTGCATACACACTACCTACAAAAATTCTGCAGCTGCTGTTAAAAACGCCGGCTGTTTTCGATTATCAAAAAATTCTGTTGATACTTTAACAGAAAAAAGTGGAATTAAAGATAACTGGGAAGGGTAAAATTTGAGCAGGAGAACTCATCTTACAATGACTTACATTTTTTAAAAAGTATTTTTTAAAAGTTGGAGGTCAGAATAACATAATCCAGGATTCGCACAGGGTAAATCCTACAGAACCAGTCAAATCACACTCAAAACAAAGATAATTTAAAAGGACATTTAAAACGATCCACTGCTTTCTGCAATCAAATGCCAAAGGTGGGAAAATATATCTATATCAACTCAAGGCTGTAAAATGCCCGCTGGTTATATAACAGTGTAGGGTGAAAGTTATTAGCTACAGAGAGAACATTTCTGAAGCTGAACAACTTTCAGAACAGTTAAACTCACCACCACAGTGGAATGCAGCACACCCCAGGGACAGTAAGAGCCAGTAGCAGCATCCGCCATTCTCTGATGAAGTAAGCAAATAGTGGCAGCAACATGTAGCCAATTGCAAAAAATATGCAAACTCCTAATGTAGAGAATATAACACGAACTGATTTGCCAAGAATTTCTGTGCCTGTTTAAAACAAGGAGTGTGGTTAGCATTTAACTCTATTTTTAAAAAATTACCCAAAATATGTTATTTTGCAGCTTGAAAAATAATTACAATCTTTTAAATGGAGCCATGTCCTACAGTTTTCAAGAGAGGCATGGCACTAATTTAGCCTAAAGTTGAACAAGATTAGCTGGAAATTCTGATGCATAATGGGCACTGATACATAATTTAACTTTAATTTAAGTTCAATTACACATCAATACACACTGTGCATCTATTGATATATTTAGTCGATTGATATATGTGTTATATTTTGAAGAGAAATAAGAGAGGTTATTGAAATGTAGCCATGTCACTACTGAAAACACATTTTAATATGCCTAAGGGAGTATTCAGACTGCTTTAGTTTGAGCAGGTCAGTGGTTCAGTTAGTCCATGGTTACACTTTCAATAACCATCAATTTTAATTCTACATTGGAGTATGGAACTGTAGTCTCCTGGAGACAGTTAAAACTACAACTTTTGCAATTACTGACTACTGATCATACTGACTGGGGCTGCCAGAAAGAGAAGTCCCACAATTGGAGTCTTTATCTTTTTAGACAATCACTACACAGTCTGATATTACTGCTAAATGTAATGGTTAAGATGCTAGATTAGAAACCAGGAGACCAGGTTTTCTAGTCCTCTCTATATAAGCCAGCTGAGTGACTTAGACCCAGTCAGTTTCACTCAGCCCAACGTTGTTGTTGTTGTTGTTGTTGTTGTTGTAGTAAGAAAATAAAGAAGTGAGCATTATGTGCCTCACTTTAACTAGTACAAAATTAAGCTGGGGTATATATCTAATAAACAAACTAACAAAAAGTATCCAACTCAAGCATAAAAGGAGGGCCAAAGTACCCTGGATTAACCACTGAGGAAAATAAGCATAGGCTTAATATACCAATTGAAGAAAGGCATCACAGAGTTTTATCCCCCACGCAAGCCAACATGCCCTTAACTCATCCACTGCTACATTTGACTTCGGTTTTCAGCACTTATTAAGTGTCTTAAGCCAATTAACCAATGGAAGGGCCAATGGACACCATTATTGAGCAATACTTAGGACATTACGTGCTTTACTCCAGCCCTGCTAAGAATCGCTGAGGGATCAAACTCATTATTAAATTTTGCTAAAAAACTGTACAACTTATCAGCCAAAATCTTTTTTGAAAAACAAAATTAAGGATGCATTCTACAAATTAGGGATAGGACAACTCCATTTTCATTCACTCTTAATTGTTTAACTTTTTAGCAAAAATTAAAAAATTAACTGTTTTTGAAAATTACTTTTATTTCTATGTACTTTAAAGTTTGTTTAAGTTGATTGATTAAATTATTTAGTTAACCATCTTATGATATAGAAGACAGCCTTATCTATATGCTAAACTATACAAAATAATAATCTCAGCAAGCTGAGCCTAAATGATTTATTAACATCTTTTCATTCTATCTATCTATCTATCTAATCTTCATCCATCCATCCATCCATCTTTAGGAAATTAACTCCTTCAAAAGAATAATAAAAATGTTCATATCAGATCATTTCAGAGATATTAAGTCAATGACTATGCTCACTTGGACCAGTTGTTTAGGGAATATTACATAAACATTAAAATGAAAGAATTAATAATTTATAGTATCAACAAACGTAATCCCTATGGTTGGACTGGAAAGCCATGAACAACCATACAGAATACGTGAGACATTACATTCACTGTATAGTATTTAAAAATATTTTAGAATTCCATTTAATATTCATGAAGCATTTCCAGGAATATAGATATTGCTTCCTATATTTTAGTGTATGTCTAACCCATCAGGAAATAATGTGGTTCTGGACTGGGGGGAAAATCAAAGTACCTCACATAATCATCTACTGCAATGTACTTAAGCCAAATAAACAATAGCACACTTGGTGTCATGGTTCCCTTTCCTTCTCCAATGAAACTGAAAGGAAACCTTTCAAAACCTTTCAGTTGTTTTTTCTAAACTACTGTGAGACTTTGCTCACACACATGGAAAACCATTCCTATATGGCAGGGCATCAGGAAAAACAGAACTGTCCTCTGTTCAACTATGATAAAAAGATATTGAATGTCTTAAGAATGTTCTCTTTCATTCTCATTATGAAATATATTATTTGACATTAAAAAGAGTACAAACTTAATAATTTCTGGAAACAATTTCTTGGAAAAACACTACAAAACAATATACTTTTCAGATATGGTATAGGGTTAAAGAAATTGGTATAATAAAGTTTATGTGCCAGTACAGTCATAAATCTGTATTTGTTCCAGATAAAAGAAACCAAAGATAATTATCTACTACTGAATGCGCTTATAAAATTGCACAACCTGACCTCTACTGTATACTAAAGATTCCAGATTTCTGAAAGTAGCATTGCTTCCTTAGTTTTGCCTGACTTATACTGATCTTGCCCTTGTTCCAGCACCACCAATCTGTTTATAGCAGTGGTGGGATTCTACCAGTTTCCCTACCGGTTCGGTGATCGCACACCTCGCATGTGTGCGGTTTTCCAAATACCAGCTGAGGCTCTGCCTTGCCGATCAGCTGAGAGGATAAAGAAGAGAAAAGCACAGGGATGGGTGGGAGGGCCGAACTGGTAGCATTTCACTACCGGTTTATAGATGTACCTTCCTATAAATATTACTGCACCCTATTGAATAGCAATTACTAGTGACTCATGTGTGCATACTCAGCAGGCATACAAGAGGTGCTGAGGCAAGCACTGTAAAGTATTATATAATTAATTATAAGGAATGGTAGGGAAAAGTGTTAACAGGATGGGCTGCTTGGTTGGGATTTTATCCTATATACTATATGTATTTTCTCCTATTTGGGGAAAAGAAGAAGATATCACACATCTGCTTGATTCTTGATTCTGATGCTTGGTATTTAAGGTCATCAAAAAACAGATGAATAATCCATGCAAGGGATTTGTTATTAAGAGAAATGTATTGTTTCACAGTTTATTTGATAAATAGAGAATAAAAAAAAGTTTAAATGTATTTTATTTAAATTCACTAAGGACGCTTTAAAAATGCCTCCAAATAGCTACAACTGAATAAACATTTTACTTAAACAAATATAAAGTGTGTTAATATGTATATTTTCAGAAGGTGCTAAAATTCATTTAAATGTTTTTGTTCATTTTTCTGTGAAAGTATTCTAGAAATGTTCATATTTCCTTTTCTTTGCAATCTGTTCCTGTGAAAAAAATAGTGTCATACAATTCAAGGAGATAAAATTTGGCAACAGCCCTGGAAAAAAAGAACAATCATCAATTTGCCCTTTCTATATTATAAATCCAAAATGTATCAGATAAGCATGTTCTATGCCTTTATTCATCCCAAAGGGTTTAATGCATTTAAATACATTTTCTGACAAAGTTTCTAAAAGGCAAGATAGAATTTTTTAAAAATGCAAGTTTAAATGAATAATTAGCACAACTATAACCAACTTCATAAGGTCAATATTGTTTAGAATTAAAAACCTTTCTCAAACACTTCCAAGTAATCCAGTCTGAGGGTAATTGCTTGTAAACAACCACAATCTGGTAGCCACCTGCAAATTACTTCATAGAAGACTTATTCTGCATAGTAAGCCATTGACTTCACTATCCTCTCTCTGTCCTCCCTTCACCTTTTCCCTGGCTCCCCATCAGTTACATAATTCTGTAGAACTTCATGAACAGGGTTGTCACATTTTGGTAAATATTTACAGCTTAAAAATCCATAAACAAGAAGGGAAAAGTTGATTAAAAAACCTTGTGTCATTCAAATTTTCCATGGGAAAAATAGTTTTAAAGGACAAACAATATTTTTAAAATATTCCATCATTAAATATTAATATATAAATTATTAACATTTAAATATAAATTACTAAAATGTTTATATTTTAATAAGTAGAAGCTTAATTAGTTCATAACCAAATTGGAGATTAAAAAAAATTGCTCCTGCTGTGATTCAAAGTTTATCTCGTTTACCTCTATTAACGGCAATGGGAAAAATGCATTATTTTGATGACTTTGCTTAAATTTAGAGCAGGGGTCACCAACCTTTTGGACCTCAGGGACCACCAAACTCATAATTTTAAATGCCATGGACCAGAGACCCTGGAAAAATCCCCCAAAAAGTCTGCAGGAAAATTCCCCACCCCATTTTCCTACCGATTGATCATTCTTTATTTGGGATCGCAGGATACCATCTCCAGCTCCATTCTCAGGGGGGGTGGGAGAGAGAGAGAGAGAGACTTTCAGCTTCATGCAAGGAAAGCAGCAGAAGTCTTTCTTTCTCTCCCCCAAACTCCGGCAGAAATGAGTCCTTGTGAGACTTGTCGCACTGGCACAGCCTCTTGGAGCAGGATGCCTTGCAGACTCATTCTGGCAGAGTTGGGGAAGAGAAAGAAATACTTTTGCTGCTTTCCTTGCATGTAGCCAAAAGCAGAAGAAAGAAGCAGAAAGAAGCAGCCCAGTGGCCAGGCAGGGCCTGTGGGGCAAGTGACCCCCCTCTCTCTTTCCCTCCTCCCCTCACTACCTCATGTTGTTCACAATGCAAGCGACTCAAGCCTTGTGTTCCCAAGGGCCATGTGGGTGGCGCAGCCTGGATTAATTGCTTTGGGGGGTGCTTTGAGGGTGATATTTCTCTGCGGACCACCAAAATTTTCTCATGACCACCAGTGGTTCCCGCCCCACTGGTTGGCAACCACTGATTTCGAGGATTAAGTATATCTGATTAGGAAATAATTTCAGCACTGTTCTCAGCTATAATTTTTCTCCTATTCCACAATGTGGTGGTGATTTCCTTTCCTATACAAAAGAGCAAAAAAATACATATCATTGCTCTTTATTCTTTCATTGTAAACACTGTTATTTAAATAGGGATAGAGTAATATTCTTTACTTCCAATAATATCCTTTCCGAAATATCACCATTCAACATGAGAAATTTGGTAATCCTTGGTAGTAATCTGGTGGTTGAGAGCATTAAAGAAAACAATGCCACAGTAAAGAGAGTCAATTCAATTCTCAGGAGCATGTTTTAGATCCAGCTAAGGAATTAATAACTCTGAACTCACAAGGCACCCTGAAGCCAAATAATTACCATCAGGCTCCAGGAAGGCAACAATCTGAAACTGGTAACCTGCATAGAGCTTAGTATGATACTACGTAGATCTGCCTGCATAAAAAATATGATGGGGATAGACTTTACCTCAGACCTTATGGCAGGGGTGCCCAACCACCGGGCCACGGCTCACTACCGGAGCCTGTTTGGACCATGTAAGTGGCTGGCTGGCGCACGTGTGTGCACAGCTCAACTTGCATGGGCAGTGGCCCGGCGCACACAGCTCAACTTGCATAAGCCAATTCCCCTCCCCACCCTTGCTGGGCTACCAAGCTTTCTAAGAAGTGCCATTAGTCTCTTGACAGTCTTCAATATCATACTGAATTTCCTAACTTTGAATGCTGGAAGATGGGAGTCCCTGTATCTGTCAACCGTTCCCAGTTCATGTTATTCAAGACTTGGTGGGGAGGCTACATGCAAAAAAATCAATGATAAAGTGGCTAAGGGAGTTCAGAAGAATCCTGCTGTTTATGATAAAAATGCCCCTTTTTCATATTTATGATGTGGCTACTCACCTATTTCTCAAATATTCCCTCTGCTTTCCCTGTTAAGTAAGTTCTGGCTTCTGATGATTAACAAGGGTTTCAGAATAGCTAGTGAAAGTTACTTTTGTAGCAATCTGAAATCAAGTTTTGAAATGTCTATGTTTGTCCAGACAAGTCCACAACTTGCCTCTGGAAGTTGTGGCTGCTCCAACACTGGAAATTTTTAAGAAGATATTGGACAACCATTCGTCTGAAATGGTATATAGGGTTTCCTGTCTGAGCAGGGCATTGGACTAGAAGACTTCCAAGGTTCCTTCCAATTCTGTTATTCTGTTATATTTTGCTAAGCTATGTTAAACCTCAAAAACAATATAACCATACAGTGGCACTGGGTCATTTAAGTCGCTGAATCAGCTAGCTAAATTGACAGAAAGTATTTTCTTTCACTTGGCAAATTTATTCTCTTTAACTTCTGAACTTTCTCAGATTCTACCAATTCTTAGCCTTTATTTTAATTTAGCTAATTTTCCTAAATATGGTTTTGATACTTATATGTGGAAATATTTTAAGCATGGGCACGTTTCTTGTGAAATGTGATTGCTCTGACATATTGAAACAGGCAAATAAAGTTTAAGAGTGAAAATAATCTTACCTAATATGAAGGCCACAACGTAATTTGAGATCTGCCCCATGCCAACTATAAGAAAAAGCACTGTGAACATTTCCCAGCTGATTGAGAAGATCTGGAGGAAGCTGAAACCTGTCTGCACACCCATGGTTGCAAATAGAATAGCTTTTCTGCCAAACCTTTTGGGGAAAAAGAACAAGCAAGCCAAAAGATTATAAATGAAATCAGAATATAATTGTTGTTTGGTTTTAGGGAGATTGAATAGGTCCACCCCAAACTCCCCTTTATTTTCAGTAGACAATAGATCTCAAAGAGATATAGGCACATTATCATGTGAACAAATTTCTACTTTAGCAACAGAAGTTTCTGTGTTATCTATGCCTGAATTACCCAAACTTAGTTTAGAGGTTATTCTAAACTAAATTACCTGGATCAAATAGAAAAGGATACAGTGGGCAAAGGAGTTCTTCTAACCAAATAAAGGGAAAAACTAATTCAAGTTGAAAACAACCTGGAGTTAGAAGCGTGGGCACCCTAAATCCAGTTGCTAAATAGATCTTAATGTGAGTCTAGTAACGGCAGATTGAGATGCAAATTTAAATGGTAATCTATCCATTATGTTCACCCAACTAAAAAAACCTCAAACATGGAAACACAAATTTAACAACCAACGCATGCACACACGCACACACGCACAAAAAAAACCCATTTCTGGAGAACTACAAAATATACAGATGGAGAGCATTCTGTACTACTCTCTATCTAATGTGAATGAAACTCGAGAGTAGCAAAATACTCAGTTAGTAGCATCATGTATAGTAGCATCATGTATTTTATAAGTTAATAACATTAACTTATAAAAACTGACATGCCTTTCTTAGTAATGTATTGAGATGAACACATGGTGGCAGTATATTTCGTATGTTGAGGGTTCAATTATCCAGCATTTCCAACAGTCAAGTTAATCTAACCTCCCGAAGCATTTTGCACTGGAACTTCCATCTCTGTGCTAGATGGGAATGATGAAAGCTGTAGTGTGGTCCATCACTTCTGATAACACTAGGTTACAAAAGACTGTGCTATGCTAGGCAGTCTTAAAAAGGACTGGTTGGAACTTAGAAATAAATAGCACATAATATACTGTGCTTGGTTTGTATTAAGAATTGCAGGAAACTGATTGTCCCCACCCCCCACCAGAAACATAAAGGGAAAACTATATATTAGATTGAAACAAATGTACTAATGTCCAGAGGAGAACATTTTTTAAAAAAAGAAAAGTGCAACAGGGAAAAGGTTAAGCATATTTCTTATTTAGTCATCTGTCCAAAACCAGTATTCAAGGATTCTTCTTCAATCAGAACAAAAAACATCAGAAATGTTTAATGCTTTTTTATCTTCACAGCGTCCTTATAAAAAGTGACAAGCAGATTGTGAAAAACTTTTGACACTTGATTGCTTACAGCAAAACTTCTGATTGCTTACAGCAATCTCTTTTATCTGATTTTAATTGCTAGTACCAATATTGAAATGCATGCATTTATCTCCCACATGGTACACATATCTCATACAGATGTACAAATATCTCACACTTATAGGCGTATAGAATGCTACCGAATATGCATAGATAGCTCTGTTGTCTACTAACCTATATTCCCATGAACGTTTGATTTCAGTACATATTTTCAAAGTTGGAATTAACCATCAAATTAAGTATGATTCTGCATCCTCTTAACAGAATTACAAGAATAAGTTTAAAACCCCCACACACCCCAATGCTATTTTTAAGTATGTGTACTTTACTTGTCTGAGAGTTGTCCAGATATAAAGGATCCAAGCAGCACACCCACAAAGAACAAAGATGTAGTTAGAGGAGGTTTCCAGTCATTGTCACATACGAGATTCCACTGTCAGAAAACAAAACAAAGCAAAGTTAAGGTCATTTTGCAATTGTTTAAACTGTTTAAGAAGTACAATAACGCAGTATGAACTGGCAGTAGAAAGCTAGGAAAAATAATAATTATTGAACAAATAAAGAGACCATTCTGAATAAATACGTTGATGGATTACTGCATCTTATAATCAGCACCTAAATGGATTTTTAAAAAACAAGTTCCTTATTAAAATTTATTTGCCTGTTTTACATCTGTGAAGATGAAATCAATATTCCAGGAATCTAGGCCAAATGTAAATAAAAGTAAAGTAAGCAGAGAAATGCTGAACCACAGATTTTACTACTACAGAGCTTGAATTACAACCTTGCATGAAACTTCTTGGCAGAATACATACAGCTGGAAATATCAACCAGAGGTCAAATCAGTTGGAACAAAGTGGAAAATATCAACTCCTTTCTATTTTGAATAAATATCCTGCTTGGATATTTTACCTAGAGTATTTTCCACAGATGCAATAAAAAGTACTACAGGAGGAAAAGTTTGCTTCCAATTTCCACAACTTCCCAGATTCCAGATTAAAATAAAAAAGAATCGGAATAATATCTGATATCAGGATGGAGGATATCAACCAAAGAAAGGGAACGGTCTCACATATTAATTCTCATGTAAAATTGTTTAAAATAATAATTTGTTAATCCATCTGCCCTCCCTTATGTGGATACCTGTGGATAGTTTGAGAGTTGGTGTACCTACGTGTAAAACCAATACTCACAAGTGGAAACTCTTAGTAGATAACAATATGCTACGTGAAGGTGGAGAGAGAGACACAGAGCCCAGCCCATCTGCTGATATGTCACCTTCTACCAGAAACATTTACTGATATTGACTAATTTTTGGCCAACGACAAAACTAGGAAGGTGGTTTTAGCAGTTTAAAGTTTGACCTAGACTAGTGATGGTGAACCTTTTTGGGCACTGAGTGCCCAAAGCACGTGCACATACCCAAAATGCAACACAAGTGTGTGCCCTGCCTCCACACAATGGCCCCGCCCCCCGCACATGCGCGGCAGAGGCCTGAAAACCAGCTGACTGGCAGGGGACACACACGCATGCACGGTGGAGCTGAGATGGGGCAATGGTGCGCGTGCCCATAGTGCCATAGGTTTGTTACCATGGACTTAGACGCAGAAGAATCCATTTGTGCTAGGGAAACAGGTAGAGATCCAGATCTTACATATGAATTTCATATTCATGTTCTATAAAACTAATATAGAGCTATTTATGAAGAAAGATTGTGCAGGGCAGCAAGTGTTAACTAGTCTCTGTCTCTCCTTACAAAATCTCTCTTTTAATTTAAATCAATTCGGTAGATTGGGTGAAAATTTCCTGCCTTTGGGAGGTTAGGGACCTAAAAACATGTAGCCAAAAAAAAAAAAAAATGAAGAGAAAACAATTAAGGGACCAAAAAACAGGAAAAAAACAAAACAAAACGCCCACGAGCAGACTGGACAGTGATAAACATTTTAAAAGCCAACAACAGGAAATTAAAAGCAGTGTTGTCTGGAACAAATCTTTAGTCTTTTCTAAAAATATTTAGAGAGGCAGCATAGAAGAAATGGAATTCTACAATCATGGTGCAACCACTTATCGGCATGCTATTATGAAAAGGATCACAGGTTGTAATCATTCTCATCTTATGTGTTGGGGTGGGTTTATACCAGGAGACCTACCTTTAAAATAATCCAATGCTTCGTCCTTTAGGATGTTTAAGGTCAACACTAGCCCTTTAAACTGGGTTCAATAGTTATTATCTGGGTTCAGATCTTATACACACACATACATTATTTCTTTCCAAACTCTCTAAATGATACCTTTTTGTTTTCTACAGAGACATTACGTAAATCCATACAGCTAGTATTTACAGTGTGTGCTGATTTTATCAACAAGATGAAGAAACTATCTGCATACGTAAGGTTGATCTCTGATCTTCCAAGCAGTTTGTTCACATTCTTGGGGTAGTATCATAAAAGAGACTATCACAGAATGGGTACATGCCCTGTTAAGATTCCCTTCTAACTTTGTGTTAAAGTTTTGAAAGGATATTATTGTATGAGCTTCTACAAAGAATAATCAGTGCAGGTGGACAGTTTGTTATGAATTATATTTCCACCGGTAAATTGCTTCATTCTCAAGAGATAGTGGGGGATGAAAGCAAGAATTGGGACAAAATAATTTCCATTTGCTGCATTAGTCCTTTGTTTAAAAAAACAAACACCCAGCACAACCTGTTTATACCACATGGCTTCTGGGCAAGGGTCAATGCATTGTGTCAGCATCATAGCATCTCCTATAGGCCTCCTTCCTCTTATACAGGCATCAAGGCATTGTATGCATTCCTCAAAAGTGTGCAGGTTACATCACAAGTCTACTTTCAACATTCTCAATAAAGTAGCAATAGCTTGCCGGTAGCCTTGGCTGACACCCATGTAGTTTATTTTCACTTTTAAGGAAGCATAAACTTTGATATATGGGAAAGTATGATATTTAAATATCAGCAATATGAAACCATCCCTCTTCTACTTCTAGTAGTAAATAAAGATATAGTTTGTTTTAACTTTTAAGGAGGCATACACTTTTACTTTATGGGAATATATTATATTTAAATATCAACAATATGAAACCATCCTACTTCTCGCAGTAAATAAAGACATAGACTTTCGAATCAACTCCTAACTTTCTATCACGTTATCAAGTGTCTGGCTAGAAGAGATGTGTATCATCATCTAAAATGAGTGCATCCCGGTATCATAATCTACTTACTGTACTTTTAATATGTTTTCCCTTAGTTGTATAAGGTTGATTTGTCCTATACGAGCAGATCTCAGAAAAACAAACCAATGGTACATTAAGCAGCATTAATCTGAAAATGAAGCAAGGCTATTTGATCGTTTTAATTCTTTCATTTTGAACCGTGAAAGTTTCAAATAAACAGCAGACCAAATAATTGAAGTTGGCATATATTGTCAAGGACAAATGGAAAAGCCTGTGAAATGCTGTGTTTCACAGATTCAAACTTTCATCTTAAAATTATAAAAGTACATCAAAATTATTACTGGGCTGTGTGAAACCTACACAGATTGCACATTTTCAGTAGACAAACATGATCCTTTTCCAAGTCTTCTACCTGAATGCAACCCAACAGCAATTTGGTCAGCTTGAAAGGTAAATTTTAAAAAATCCTAGATATGAGTTCAAATCTAAGTGGTATTATTGGCATCCTATTATTTGCTGACATTCCCACCACCCAAAACAATCCAAGGCCATTTACATGTCCATATCCATGCCCTTGCAGCCACCAGGAGACAAATATATACATACATACATACCTACATACCTACATACATACATACATACATACACACACACACACACACACACACACACATATATGCCATTGAACTAAAACAATTATCCCTATTTTAGATCTGATTGTTGCCAAGATGAAGGCTGAAGTAGAAAACATGCAAAGCGAACAAGTGTCCACCCAGTTTTGTAGGTTTATTTGGCCAGATTGTTAACTTAAAATGAAGCCATTTACTCTGTAGAAACAAACGGAACATAGAATATTTATTACCGGCCTTAGCAAGAGATTCAAGGGTAAGCCTTGGATAAATAAGTAACTTTCTTACAGATACCAAGAAGTTCTAATTGCGACAAAGGTCAAATTATACAAAGTCTAAGAATCTAGCTCTCTCTACATTTCTGTCCTAAGGTTTATTCCTGATTTTTTTTTCTCATATCTTATTGACTTTACAGCATCAAGTACTTGCTACCCAATCCATGGTGGCATCTCTGTTATGTCTACCAAATAATATTGTCTGCCTCAGAATCCTTATTCCCTCCCATGCCAAGCTAAAAGGCTTTATAACTCTTTGTATTTCCAAACTCTTAATGCCACTAGGTGGCTGGCAGATTGAAATGGACACCTGAATAAAATATCTTTAAATCACATTTTCATTAAGAAATGTAAGGGAATTAAAAATACAAGTTCTTTCTATTGGGAGCACTGAAAGTCTGCAAAGAGAAGGAAAACAGCTTTGATGCTTATGGATTTTAATTTAAGGATTACATTTTATTTTTATTTAATTAAATTTGATTAAAAATATAGAACTTATTTTAAATGTACTAAATCTTTATCCAGAGCCTGTGTGTGCACTATATTTCTTTTAGACTTCCAGACTAATATGGAAGGTTTCTAAAGCTATGGGCATTGTGTAGCAATTTCATCTTTTCTTCTTTAATATACACAATTTGTACTGATAAATACAATAGTTGGAAAAAGTGCTGGGACAATATAGGAATGTTACAAATGGAGGTCAGCACTACCGTGTCCAATTATAAAATACCCTAGAATTTATTTTTGCTGCCACCGAGGCTATGGGCTGCACAAACAATGATAAAATTAGTCTATTTATTTTATTTTAAAGCAAGAGTGGTGAATTTTTGGTGCTAAAGGGGGTCACTTAAAAAATAATCCAAAGACCTCAAATAATGTGATGATGATGCAGTGACCCCTTCCAGCAAGGACAACTTCTGAAGGTATTTAGATAATCCATATGTGAAACCTAGATGCCTCAATGTTACCTTTTTTTCAACACAGTGCAGCTGGATTTTTGTGACCCATTGCCAAAATGTGGAGTCCAGGGGTAATGGCTGTGGAAAGACTGCAGAGAAACTAGGGATTACATGATACTTATGTGTTTCCAACCATGTTTGAATAAATGCCTCTGAACTCAAATATCTACTGAAGTTGTGTGGACAAGGTCAGCACATAATTTATTTTTTAGATGGCGCGGGCTTTCGTTTTTGCTATTAGTTACATCAATTTTCAAACCACTCCAGTGTAGAAAAAGATATAAAATAGGATGGGAAAATGATATGTTTATATAAGCCTTATTTAATTAATCCTAAAAAACAGGAAAGCTGTCAGGCAAAAGGAACCTAAACGGCATT